GAAGGAGTAAAATCTCATAATTTCCAATCAATTCATTCAATATTTCCTTTTTTAGAGGACAAATTCTCACATTTAAATTATGTGTTAGACGTACTAATACCTCATAAGAACTAAAAATGTGAAAATTTAGATAGAATTAACAAATTAACTAACAGAAAACTAAAAAAGTATACTTTTCATAGTTAAAAGACCAAAAAAGTGCAAAAAAAATTAAGAGATAAAAATTGTACAAAACTTTAAAGTTAAGGGATGAAAATTGTCATTTAACCTAAATACAAACAAGCTATTAAATCTAATGGACGCTAACTGATCATGAAACTAATATAAACACAAACTAATATGCCAAAGATTGGAAAGAAGCATGAATGTCATATAAATAATCATTTAAAGAAACACTAATCATAAACCTCAAACATACATAAGTTAAAAAAAAAAAGATACAATACCTTACAGAAACCAAAATGCTTCTTGTTTATTACACGAAGAGAGGTTGCTGAATTAACTACACAAACTAGATTAACCAATTGGACGCTGAAATCAACCTAATTGTACTAGGAATTGTGCTAAAAACTTAAATCTATAAAGCTGCAATGAGCAATTACCGTGAAGAACTAAGAATTGAAAAGCATCTATCAAGTTGTGTGTATGGCCAGCCGTGTGTTAAATGATTAGAAACTCTCTCTTTCATTTGTTCCATGGAAGCCTGAAACTGCCCACTTTCTGCAAATCGTGGGTGGTTGCCTGAGAAAGGTAGATGCCTCACAGTAGACTTGTTCAAAACTCCTTCCAGATCTTACCACCTGTCCTTGTTCTCCACTAAGGTTTGCCAACTCAATCATGCTTGGAAATATGTGCACTTCTTTAACCGAATTTCTTCACTAGTTGTGACTATTGGAATTTTCACAGCCACATCCCACATGGCATATAAGTAGACCATGCAACACCTCAAAAATTCAAAACAAGATTTAGAGGCCTACAGCAAATGAATCACATCTGACAAGAGATAGTAAGGGTGGGGCAATCTTCAGATAAACTTGCAAATTCTGCAGAAAGGAATTTTAATAACATAAAAGCATAAACTCTTTGCATACCAACTCATTTCTGCTACATATCTTTCTGTTTCAACCAGCTGGGCAGATTTACACAACTATGCTAAAAAACCCATAGTTTATATTCCAAACAGCTAGTTGCATCTTGTTTTGGAAGCAAAGAACAGACTGAAACTTCATAAACCAGCCAACTTCACTCTTATCAAGGAGCCAGCCTAGAGAAAAATTTTAGATCAAATGTTTCTCCTGTCCTTCAGATTAGATGAAGCAAAGGTAAAAGATCCGTATTCTTTTTCCTTAACAACAGAAAGCGCATATCAGCAAAACATTTGACTATTAAACAACAATCACCTCAGGGAAAACAATAATATCTAAATAGACAATTAATTTCAATTCAGACTATCATTCAAACACAATAATATATACTTTTGTGAAAATTAATGGATTATTAAACATATTCAGGCACAGCTCTATAAGTCTTATTCCCAAAATCACTGTAATAGTAATTTATACCCCAAGACACCAGGTATACCTTGTATTAATTATCAACTCAAACTAGGCAAGAATTGTGAGCCTTACTACTTCTCTTATTTTTGAAGTTGTTCTATCCTCTTTAAAAACTCTTGCAAAACAACTTGTCCCCTCAATCATGCAGTTAGGCTATAAATGAGTCAAGTAGCTAATGAGCTATTTGACTCGAGCTCAAGTCATCATCGAGCTTGAACAGCAAAAAATTTTTGAGCTTGAGCTTGGTTTAAAGCTCATGAACTACTCGAGTGCAAATACTATTAATTTAATTTTTCTTTTCTCAAAGCTTGAGAACTACTCACAAGGTATTTGAACTTGATTGAGCTCAAGCTCGTCTAAGCTTGATCAAGCTCAAGCTCGATGACTTTTAAGCTTGATAGAAGCTCACGAACTTGAGTATTGTGCTATTTGACTTAGCTTATTTACACACCTGCATGCACTCAGTCTCCTTTCTTGTAAACTGAATAGCCTACTTTGTAGATTAGAGTTGCAATATTTTTGGAGCACCATAGTTGTTTCTTGCATTACTAAAGTAATCAACATACTATTTTCCATCATTGTTGAATATTTTCTACATTACAAATTTGAAGAAAGAAAGAAATAGTCAAGTGAACACAAATCTGTGCACTTGCTTCAATTTTGCATGGTTATTC